ATAAAAATTAAAATAATATATAAAATAAAAATAAAAAAATAATATATTTTGTATATTGTAATAATCATAAATTTAACTAAATATACTATTATTAGTATTATCATTGTAGTAAGAAAATATAATTAAAAATAATTTTCGAAACATTATTATAAAGAATAAGAATATTATTATTTGAAGGTTATGTTTTTTTAATAATAAATTTCTAGAAAATAAAAAAAAAAATTGTGTTGATAAAAGCATGAATAAAAAATATAACAAGGAGATTAAAAGCAAAGAAGAATACAGAGAATTAAAAATAAAAAAAGACAAATAAAAACAATAAAATTCTATCAAATAAATTTCTAAATTTCTTGAAGATAAAAATTTAAAGATTATTATAAAAGATTTATATAAAGATTGTTTTATATATTTTATATAAAAATTAGTAAAATCTTATTAAATGAATATTAAAATTATTATTCACAAAAGTTTTTTTAACTTTTCTACATATGATACTTAAATACAAAGTCAATTTTAATTTTCCATTATTATATTATTATTAAAATTCAAAAAGAGAGAAGAAAAAAAAAATTAAGTGACAAAAGATAGAAATCTAATCTAAGATAGATATCTAATAAATTTAATTATCAATTAAATTCAAAAGCATTGATTATTGTTGAGAAATTTGTAGAAAAGAAGGATCTTCGTGTTGAGAAATGCATACATATATATATATATATATATGTATATATATATGTATCGAAATGGAAAAGAATATAGAAAAAAAAATGAGAGACACGAGAAAGAAAAAGAAGACGACTAAAAAAAGATAAAAATGAAGATAGAGCAGGGAGAAATGCAGAGATTAGACAAAGAAACAGGAAAAAGAGAAAGAGAAAAGAAGATAGAAAATATGAGAGGGAAAGAAAGAAGAGTGAGTAGAGAACTCTGCGCGCCGCAGCGCTACGGGGTGGTTGCCCTCGTCTGCGCTTTGTGGGAAATGCCCGCTCAATAACGCGTAGGACCTCGTCTGCCCCTTCTCACCCTCGGAGACATCACAGCAAGGGCCACTGCCCCAAAAGGCATGGCCAACCCTTATCCTATCTCTCTCTCCTATCTATAAGATATTTTTTGAATCTTTCTTGTTCTTGTTCTATTCTTTCTTCTCTTCCTTTGAACATCTAATATATTAAAAATGTTCTATATCCTTACATATTATTGTCGAGAAAATAAGAAGAATAAACATCATTGCATCAAATTATAGATAAAATGTATACATTATATTTATTTCTTTAAATTAATCATTATATAAAATAAAATAATCATTAATATAAAATAAAACTTATGAAAGAGAAAGAGAATAAAATCTAAGGAATGAAAATTTTATTTAAGGAATTAAGATTACAGATAATTCAAAAATCATTATTAATATTATATATAGTATTATATTACAAATATAATACTAATATATATTAACATATATATATATATATTATATTATAATATTATGTTATAATATTATGTTATATATATTATATTATAATATTATGTTATAATATTATGTTCATTCTTTATTAATAAATAAATATTATTTTTTTCATATATAATTTAAAAATTTTTTTAATGTTTGCTTGTCTCGCTATAAATAATATAAATTAAAGTAATAAAATTGTTTAAAATTTAAATTGATAATTTAATGATAAATAAAAATCAATTACTTTTAATATGAAATACTAAAAAAATACAAAAAGAATATAAAAAGATGATTCTTTTTATTATGTTATTTTTTTAAAATTTATTTTAAAATGATTTTTTATGTACATTGATAAATAGAACAGATGTAAAGATATTTAATTGCATTTTTGCATTTTAGCTTTTTGAGAGAAAGTGGTCGATATCTATCCAGTATTCCGAGTTATTTCACCCTCGTTCTAGGCATGGTGGAACCCCCAAAGATTGTTCGGGCAATGACCTCGAGATTATATATTCTGCTACTATAGGATGGTACAGGGTTATTTTCCCTGAATCCACGGCCTATATTTTTTATCAAATTATATTAAAATGTTATATTAAAAAAACTGAAATATTTGTTAAAAATAAAAAAAATAATAAAATAAAATTGATCATAAAATAAAAAATATATATTAATAAAAACAAAAAGAAATTAAACAATTTTTTTTGGAATTATTTAAGAATATTATTTTTAAGAAATAAAAAATATTAAATTTAAACAATTCATTCCAATATTAATTTTTGTTTTACAAAAAATATAAAAGAGACCATAACATTTATCGAATTATTTGATGATTCTTTTCATAAAAGATTGTTATGAGTAGTAATTTCATATCAAAAACAAATTAGTATCAGTTATAATTTTCGTGGTGGATGGCATTTATAAGCCATGTTTGCTATATCCACCATCTACCCGATCAATAAATACTCTTCTTGTTTCATAGGAACTGTTTCCTTCTGTCCAAACTCTATGTATTGTGATAATATCTGATATTTCGTTACAACAATGTATAATTATATTAATGCATTCTAATAAAATACAATATGACATTCTAAATATCAGAAGATAATAGTATCCTTTTTTTCAAGAAATTTTATTAATAATTTATTAATAAATGCAATAAATTTGTTTAAAGTGTATAAACATTTGTTTAAAATTAAAATAATAGAAATAAATTTAAATGAATTTATATATTAAATGCAGTTTGCAAATGAATTCAGAAATGATGAAAATTTAAGATCTTAAATAGTATCTTTAAAATAAATTATATCTTGCAATATCTCGTAATTCGTACTTAACGAATTTAAATCTAATAATAAGTTCATTTTTAAAACGAAAATAAATTTTAAATTCTATAAGAACTTTTAATTTTCATTTTTTCATTTTAGTCTATTTTATTTTCAAATTATTCGAATGATCAACTTATATAGAAATCAAAAAACGATATTTCTCATTTTTCTTATTTCTTTTAATGATATCGATTGTATTCATATCTGAAAGAAATTTATTGCTCTTATCAAAGAGATATTAATAGGAATAAATGGTTAAGGGATTCAACGATCGATATGTTCATTACATATCACTTTATGAATAAGAATTTTTGAGATATATTAAAAAAAAGTCCAGAAAAAACAAAAACTATCTATACTTTGGTCGGAATAAGTCGGATTTTACAGCATGCGTGCAAATAGATGCGTAGATACCGACTGCTCGTATCTATTTATAACGGCGACGGATCGCGAGGCAATTGACCGCGTGGCCTTGACTTCCTGTTGACCCAAGTGCCCCTAGGGAATTTTAGCGTACATCGTGGAATTTCTTACCACAATATTCGAGCATGTTGTCTAACCATCTTTTTCAATACTATATTCCATATAGTATTTGCAAAGATATATTAAATAAATATATAATATTCATGTTTAAAATTACTAATATTTGAATGTATCTTATAAACTACTCAAAAAAAAGAAAATTAAAAATAATCTATTTATCTATCATTTACTAATCAATAAATGATATTGATGATTGATCGAATGCAATATCTATATAGAAAGGAAAACTTTTATTTGATATTTATACTTTAATAAGTATTATTTTCAATCTTTGAAATGTAATCAATAATATAATAGATATAATAGAATATGTTTATAGCATTATATAGCATAGCATCTATAACAATGAATTAAAGAATTAATATTAACATGAAAAATATAAATTCTATCCAAAAAACGATTCTATACAAAATTTCTTTTAAAATATCTTTAACATATTTATCTTGCAGAATAAAATTATCATAGAGAATGTAAACGAAAGTGTTTACAAGTTTCTTTCTTTCTATACCAAAATCGAGTATATCGATTCTCTGCGAATAACTTTGTTTAGCTTACTCAAGTCTAAGTGCTTTTTTTCTGCAATCGGTAGGAAACCTGTTCGTACGAGCAACGGAATGTCTGAGTGGCTGCCGTCCTCTCATCTCCGTGCAATTCCACACGTAGTAGACGAGTCGACCAAGTAAGATCGTTCATTCTGTAAAGAACATTTTTGTTTTAATTTCCTTCTTTACTGGAAAATCTGTCATAATATAATTACTGAAATAAAAAATGGAAAATAATCAGATAAGAAAGGAATAAAAAGAAGTAGTTATATTGAAAATAAAATTAATAAAACTAAATAATAGAATTTTGAAAACCATTTAAAGTCATCATATTATAAATATTCATTAAATATTACGTATCAATGTATGTAAGATTAGAAAGAACATAGAAAAAAAAGAAAGGAGAGAGGAGAGGAGAGGAGAGAGGAGAGGAGAGGAGAGGAGAGGAGAGGAGAGAGAGAGAGAGAGAGAGAGAGAGAGCGAGAGAGAGAGAGAGAGAGAGAGAGAGAGCGCGAGAGAGAGAGAGAGAGAGAGAGAGAGAGCGCGAGAGAGAGAGAGAGAGAGAGAGAGAGAGCGCGAGAGAGAGAGAGAGAGAGAGAGAGAGAGCGCGAGAGAGAGAGAGAGAGAGAGAGAGAGAGCGCGAGAGAGAGAGAGAGAGAGAGAGAGAGAGCGCGAGAGAGAGAGAGAGAGAGAGAGAGAGAGCGCGAGAGAGAGAGAGAGAGAGAGAGAGAGAGCGCGAGAGAGAGAGAGAGAGAGAGAGAGAGAGCGCGAGAGAGAGAGAGAGAGAGAGAGAGAGAGCGCGAGAGAGAGAGAGAGAGAGAGAGAGAGAGCGCGAGAGAGAGAGAGAGAGAGAGAGAGAGAGCGCGAGAGAGAGAGAGAGAGAGAGAGAGAGAGCGCGAGAGAGAGAGAGAGAGAGAGAGAGAGAGCGCGAGAGAGAGAGAGAGAGAGAGAGAGAGAGCGCGAGAGAGAGAGAGAGAGAGAGAGAGAGAGCGCGAGAGAGAGAGAGAGAGAGAGAGAGAGAGCGCGAGAGAGAGAGAGAGAGAGAGAGAGAGAGCGCGAGAGAGAGAGAGAGAGAGAGAGAGAGAGAGCTCGTAGGAGGTTGTGGAGGATGTCGAGAAATGAAGGCCAACGGCCTTGACCTTGTCCGTGATTTCATCGTGAATGAGAGGGAAAGAGAAGAAGAGATACAAGAAAAGACATCAGTCAAAACAAAGTGGCCTGCTTTCTTGTTCATCAAAGAAACGATAGTCAACAGGCAGGAAAGCAAATCCAGGTAAACGGCCATTGATGTTAATGACTAAGATCCTTGGCCTTTTCTAATTATATTATGAAACTTACTTTTTCAATTTTAAAGTAAAAGAATTATGTACATAATGACCGACTTATCGATTCGAATTTGTTTGGATAATGACAAAAGTTATTAACTAGAAATCAACATCAGAATTGTGTTGTTATGAATGATCGATATGTCATTTATGAAAATAAAGGAAATAATGTAAGTATATTCTTATCTAGGGATAATCTTAAAAAAATATAAAATTTATTGAATGATAATAATATAAAGTTGTTTCTTTGTTAATCCATGTTCTTTGTTAAATGATTTACAATTCATGAATGTATATTATTAATTTTTTATATATATTTTTGGCATGATTTACATCTACTAAAAGAATAACAAAATAATTAATAAGAAATAGATTCTAAAATTATTCTATCAAAATGATTAATTATTTGTAAAAAATATACAAATACAAATTACATTTATTTTTACAGTTTTTTTTAATTTTATCGTAAAGTAAAAGTACATTGGGACATATATATTTGATATAAAGTCATTGTTATTAAATAAAATAATAATATTTTATTAATAGAAATTTTGTGATTGTAAATACATATTAATATAAGTTCAATAATAACATTATTAGATATAATATTATATTCAGTATTTTTTAAATTTTTTCTTATATAATGAATTTTAAAAAAAATTATGTCATTCTATAAATATCTATTCAATTCCCAATGATATTATTAATTGCTATGTAGCTGTGTACATATTAAAATAAAATACAAAATTAAATCAAGAGTTTGTTTCAAATCAAGAGAATTATTTTCTTATTACTATTGATCAACGATTTACTCTTGCAAAGAATATCTTTTTAATACAAAAATGACCAATAGACAGTAACTAGAAGTAGAATTTAGTTACAAGTTAAGAAGTTACAAGTAAAGAATGCGAAAGAAAGATCGATCAAAAGCGGAATATTTTTTTTGCAAACTTGATCAAAGATTATATATTTGTCTAATAGCAATTTGATGAACTAATAGCAAATGAATGAGAAACATTGATGATCGCAAAGAAAATTATCAAGATTCGCCGTTTAAAAAAACAACGGGAAAATCTTGTCTCCTGACCTCGAGGGAATAAAAGAAATGAGTGAGGTCGTTCTACGATCGATAACGCGAGTCTCTCGCGAAAAGGTGCGAAAGAAACTTGTCGAGCACAACGAAAGGGCTGAAAGAATCGATCTCATCTTATGAAAAGAAAAAAACAGATTTTGATATCTACCGGTTTTTCTTCTTTAATAAATGCTTGACGAATAAAAAAAGAAAAGTTGGCAGTATTCTTAGATAGAATTCAGATAGGTTCTTTTTACATAAGAGAACATACGTTTATTATCGTATCGCAAAGGGTTGCGTATACGGGGGTGAATATATCCGCCACTGTCTGTCGTTCGTTTTCTCTTTTCTCTTTTTTCATTCTCTTTTCTCGTATCATCCTTTATTTTCGATCTTTGTCTTTCGCGGGCACTGTTACCAGAGATCTCCGTCGTGTTCGCCACTCGTTCATTCGCATGCCTGCCAACTACGCCACACCGAAACTCATCGAAGAAACCGTGGTGATTATAGTCCTCTCTTTTCTACGTCATTCGTTAGGTAGTAGATTCTATCTTTGTTAGACGAATTATAAAGACGTTAGTTATCTCTTTGTTGCACTCAATAAACTCGTAAGATATTGCTTGTATCTCGTGATACATGAGTGTGTGTTGAGTGGCGGTCGTGCAGACAGGTGCGGCCGCCGGAGCCCCATCGTTGGTGGTGGCACACATTGCGCCTCCAAGCGGCGATTCTCCTTAGTTTCGGGCAAGATGGGCGAACCTCGCCGGGCAGTAGCTTAGACTCTACCTACAAGACAACACATACACTAAATGTTTCCTAACCACAAGTAACAATTAATTGTACATTTATTTTATTTAAGGGAACATAAACTCTATTTTTGTAACATGCTGTATTAGTAGTGCTTTGTGGAATTTGTACGTAAGAAAGGTGCGAAGCCACGCGCGATATAACGGACGAGAAGACGAAAGTAGGAAAAGATAGGAAGGTTTCTCGATAAGTGGAAGACCTAAATACAAAAGAAGAAAAACGGAGACGAAAAAAGATAAAGAAATAGTGAATGAACAGAAAAAAAATAAAAATCAAGAAGACAGCAACTGAAACGACGAGGATAACGAGGGGGGACAATCCCGACGAAGACGGC